GACAGCCTTTTTCTTTTGAATTAAAAAAGCATATTAAAAGCTGTTGGGGCGTTGCTGGGGTTTTGGGCTTCCGGGTGTAATAGAGTTTAGGGTTTAGGGTTTAGGGTTTAGGGTCTCCTGACTAAGCCCCGCTTGCTGTTTCCTTTGAAAGTACATAAGTTAATTGAAATCCAAATTCGGCAAATAAGAATAATTCCCGAAATTAGGGTTTGGCGTTAGGGTTTAGGGGTTAGTTACGGTTTATCGTCAAGGCTCTATTCAGGGTTTAGGGTTTAGGGTTTAGGGTTTCATGTGGGTCCTTGGGTCCTGCGTCCGGGGCCCCTCGTTCTGTGCATTTTTCCCCGTTTTTTCGCCAAATATGAGCCAACTTAATTAAATTTGAATTTATTTTTAATTTTAAATGTTTATTTTTAATGTAATTCTACTTTTGGCGCTGGTCCGGGCCCGACAGCCCCAGCTGCTTTCGCAGTGGTCCAGTGGTCACGCTGCAGCGAGCTTGGGGTGTACGCACACCGCAGCGCGGGCTTCGTCAAACCCTCGGCCGCAAACCCTAAACCCTGAACCCTAAACCCTAAACCCTAAACCCTGAACCCCAGCCCTAAGTCGTAAACCCTAAGCGCTGATGCCCGGGGGCTTCTTCAGGGTCACTTTTGCTTCTCTTCAGCGGCGGGAACTGCTGCCGCTCTCACGCCCAGAGCCAGCCAAACCCTAAACCCCAAACCCTAAACCCTAAACCCTAAATTCGAATTTGCTTTTTTTGCTGCGTTTCTGAGCCACAATGGAGCCTCCTGCCCAGCGAGGGTTTGCGCGGTTTGCGGTCTTGGGGTGTACGTACACCCCAGCTTGGATCAATCAGCTGCCCCAAAACGAAAGAGCCATCATGTCTTTGCTGCTGCTGCTGTGGCGCCGCTTTGCTGCAGTTTTCCCGCTGGCTTTTTGAGTTTCCAAACCCTAAACCCTAAACCCTGAGGTGCTGCTGCTGCTGTGGCGCCGCTTTTCTGCGGTGTTCTTGGCGGCCTTTGGAGTTTCACACCCCCTAAACCCCACACCCTGCTTGCCGTGGGGTGCTGCTGCTGCTTCCGCTGCTGCTGCTTCTGCTGCTGCTGCAGCAGCAGCAGCAGCTGCAGCTGCAGGAGCAGCAGCAGCGGTGGTTTGCCTCCATTTTGAAAACCCTAAACCCTCATTCCGAAATTTCAATATCCAGCCTCTTTTTCTGAGTTTTGCGTGGTGCCGGTGGTTGAGGGTTTGTTCCTCTCAGGGTTTGGGGTTTAGGGTTTAGGGTTTAGGGTTTAAGGTTTGGGGCTTAGGGTTTGGGGTTTGGGCTGTGCTCAGCAACAGGTGCTCATCGTGGGGCGGCTCGCGGACTACTATTCCAAAACCCTAAACCCTAAACCCTAAACCCTAATCCTTTGGAAGACCAAGCCCTCACACACAAGTGCTACGCCCACCTCAGTTGCTTCGGGCCAGGGTTTAAGGGTTTAGGCTCTTAGGGTTTAGGGTTTAGGGTTTAGGGTTTAGGGTACATTCGGACAGCCACAAACCCTAAACCCCAGAAAAAGACTGTAGACCCTCAACAGCATAATGCAAATGAGGAAGACGGAAGCGACGCAAGCCCGCAGACCTAAACCCTAAACCGTAAACCCTGAACCCTAAACTCTGAATCCTAAACCCTGAACTTTTCATCTACGTCTTAGGGTTTAGGGTTTAGGGTTTGGGGTTTAGGATTTAGGCCTGTTTCCGCGAGAGTGTGGCACTCCTGTAGCCCAGTTAAATTGCCTCTAGTGTGTAGGGTTTAGACAACCCTAAACCCTAATCACTAAACCCCAAACCTTAAAAGATAAACCTAAACCCTAAACCCCGGAGGCTAAACCCTAGACCCTAAACTCAACCTTAAACCCTACATAATAACCCTGAAGCATATTCCTATACTCTAAACCACAACTCTCAACTACAAACCGTCATTGGTAAACCCTAAACACCACATCGGAATTCCTAAACCCTAATTCTCAACCCTAAACCCTAAACCACAGGCCCACAAAGAATCCAGAAGTCCTACCCCGAAGACCTAACGGCGCCTCAGCCACAGCTAGCAACAGCTAGCCACAGCTAGCCACGGCTA